CTGATAAGTACTTAGTAGGAACTTACTAGGATTAGCAGAAAATTCATAAACGTCATTTGACTAATGGGAAACTTAATAGGTTTAGCCGTATTAAGCGAAAACTTACCAGGATTAGCCGTATTAGCAGAAACTTAACAGGATTAGCAGGAGGTTAAACAGATTCCTAGTAGTATTAGCCGGGTTTTTTTTATTGGGTAGTGTATGGAACATATGCTAAGCAAATATTATTCCTTGCAGTTTGTTTTCTGATTGTTTCAATTTGTTCACTGGATAATAGAGATGTGGATCTCCGTCAGTTTTTTTTCTTCCGTCAGTTTTAATATTAAAATAATTACTTTAAAGTTTTTTTTCTAAACATCAACATTTTGCTTTTCATAAAAATTTTTAAAGTTTTTACGTCTTTACAAACGAGAGCGCAAATAATTTTAAAATTTTTAGTATATTTTATGAATAAGAAATAAGGGTGGAATGCAAGAAGCAAACATGAGTCAAGTTCGACTTGAACTTTTTTGTAACCAATAGCGGCAGAGTATTTTTTGAGGGGAAAACCCATACTCTGTCGCTATCGGTTATAATGTAAAGTTCAAGTCGAGCTTGACTCAAGTTCGCTTTTAGCATTCCACCCTAATAATGTGAAGAAGTTAGAAAAAAATATATATATATTTTTTAGAGTTTTTTTAAATTGATTTTGTTTAAGATGAAGAAAAGATGATAAAGGTGTTTGAAATTGTAATTTTTTTAAATCATTTACAGCGCATAACACTTTTGTTCCATTTACAAATGCACTGATAAACAATAGTATGCTTACCATACTTCTGAGTTTTATAAAATGGTACATTTAGCTTTCTACTATATATATTTCTAGTAACGTATGATTATACTAGTCTACTTTTGGTTTTATGATTATTTATTGATTTTATTTATTGATTTTAAAACCAATAAATAATAGTCTACTTTTGGTTTTATGATTATACTAGTCTACTTTTGGTGAAAAATTTTCTTATTAAATAAGAAAAATTTTTTATTTAAAATGTTCAAAACAAAAAGAAGATAAGCTAACTTTACTGACGTTAAAAAATTTGGAAACTTAAGTTTTTTGAAGGACTCTGAGTCTATAGTTTGATAATTTTTAAAGATCACCACCTTTAAATATCGGAGCCAATCTAGCCAATTTTAAATTGTCAGGCAAACATTATATAGGACACTTTCTAATTTATAAAATTTTCATTGAACCAAAATACTGATAAACTGATGCTATTATTATTTGCAAAGAGAACTGCAATCAACAATAAAGCAAAAAAGGTTTAGAGAAAAAGACTTTTCCACAAAGGTATAATGCTCTTGAATATTTTTTTTTTTAAAAAAAAGATTATATTGTTGCTGATTTTTATTCAGAAGTAAAGTCGATATACCAAATATAATAAAAAGTTCTCCGGTTACAACCGTTTATAAAAATTTTTAACAAAATACCTCAAACAAAATATTGCCTTAACTTAATATTAACGCAATTTTCAATGAAGTTATTTAAAAAAAAACATTCTTAGAGCTCATAATCACAACTTTTTCAAAAAAAGAGCTTGTTTTGAGAAGTTTACTATTCTTAAAAAAACTTTCAATACCGCCGACCATATTATTTTACTTGAAAAAATTAACAAGTATGATATAAAAACACCTAGTTATTTAATGGTATATATATATATATATATATATATATATATATATATATATATATATATATATATATATATATATATATATATATATATATATATATATATGTACATATATATATATATATATATATATATATATATATACATACATATATATATATATATATATACATACATATATATGTATATATATATATATACATATATATATATATATATATATATATATATATATATATATATATATATATATATATATATATATATATATATATATATATATATATATATATATATATATATATATATATATATATATAATCTTAAAATTGATTGAAAACGAAACTGTATTTGCATCTTGTATTTTAAAACACCAATTGGTTTTTTGAAATATTATCAATGTAATTTTATACGCATAAGTTTACTTTATGCGCTTTAAAAAAAATTCCTCACTTTCGGTTCCTCATAATGGATGGTGTCCTTCAAGTTTAACTTCTTTAGAAGTAGTTTTTCGCGATTTGTGTTTATTTTGTGTTACTTTAGTTAGAGTTATTGGTAGTTTTTAAAATTTTATAAAATTGGAGGTAAAAATTGCATAATAAGTCATCTTGCCCCGGTCACGTGACCATATGACAAATTTATGAACTTTTTATTTTAATATTTATTTCAAATTTTTATATTTGCAAACTGAAAATTCATGCAGGCAATGAAGGATTTTAATAACATAAACATACTGAGAAAGTATTATTGCTTCATGGCTGATAGTTTTGCAATAACTCAGGGCTTTCAAAAAGTTCGCCATGTTGCCCCGCTTTTAACAATATATATATATATATATATAATATATATATATATATATATATATTATATATATATATATATATATATATATATATATATATATATATATATATATATATATATATATATATATATATATATATATATATATATATATATATTATATATATATATATATATATATATATATATATATATATATATATATATATATATATATATATATATATATATATGTTAACAATCTACAATCTTAGTCATGGCAGAGGTACTAATGTTTTCTGCCTTGAATAAAGGTGTTCAAATTTCAAATTTCAGAAAATGGAGATAGAATAAAATAACACTGTATTTTATAAAATAAGTGTGTGTTACATTGTTCTCCAAATCAGGGTGTAGTAATTTAAACACATGCGCTCTAAATATTATAATACAATTTTAAAACTGAGGGAGCCTGTTTAGGAAATTAATAAAAATTGGTTTTGTTTGAGTTTTTTATGTTATTTGGTCTTCAGATCCAATTAAAACTTTAAACTTGATTTTCTCGGTTCGGAAAAACATGGAGATAGAACAAAATAATTCTAACCTCGCGATTTAACAGAAATTGAAAAGTCTTAACAACTAAATTTTTACGCTCTAAAAAAAATTATAAATTTCTACCTTTAGGGCATATCATATATCCTATCTTGACAGTATTTTGTTTTTATTATCATGCTGTAAAAACTTGAAGAAAAAAATATTTGAATATTTTTATAGTTTTTCTGATAATTTTAGAGAATAAAACGACGAACTCCTTCTTGAGATGATTTTTGAGACAAAATATCTAACCAAATAATTTCAAAATATCTTTATCGAAATATCTAGACCATCTCAAATACCTATTGCATTGCCTGTGACGGATACAAGGAAGGGAAGGGGGATGGGGTATGCATCCCCACCCCCCACAAGAATCTCAAAGTCCTAAAATATCTTAAAAATTGAGGACTTTTTTTTTTAGGAGACGCAAATGTGGTACAAAATACAAAAATATTTCAACATCCCTCGACCAAAAATTCCTGTATCTGTCACTGTGCATTGCGCAAGTTATAATACTGTGGTTGCGCAGGTTATAATAGCCCCTTAATTTATAGAATATCAATGTTCTAATAAAAATACATAAAAAGAAAAAGATGCAACCTTATGAATATAAATTTAATCTATTGCATATATTTTTATTAATGATAATACATATAATTAACAATACTAAATTGCGCGGTTATTTGATTTTACAATACAACCCAGAGGTTGTATTGCAAAATCAAATAATGTATTTATAATAATGTATTTTGCAATATAACACAGTACTGTGTTATATTTTGCAATACAACACAGTTCGTTGGATGTTTTAAGGACGTCCTACGGACTTGTGACGTCTATAAGACGTTTTATATCGGATTGTGAATTGTCTATGACAGCGGGTAACCTCCTCATTAACCATTTGACTGCGGCAAGTAACAATCGTGGCTTTTAAAACTTATCTTTAAAATTTGAACGTTTATTGCAAAAAATTATTGTTTCTCTAAATATCATTCATTATTTATACAATGAGGGCTTAAATTTTTTGTTAATAAATTTTGTAGATGTTATAAAATGAAAAATAGCATACAAATCTCAAAACTGTTTTTTGTTTTTTTCTATTTTCGGTTAATTTCTTTAGTTAATTTTTTCAAAACATCTTTTAATTTTATCAAGCAATCAAAGAGTTAAATGCTAATGCGCGGCACTGCCTGTCAAGACCAAAAAAAAAAAACAAAAAAAAAAACATAATTATTAGAGCGCTTCAAAAAAGTTTTTTTGAAGCACTCTAAAAACCACCACAACAAAAAGCTATTTTATTATTTTATTTCCTTTTAAAAATTTCTTTTTTTTATTAAAAAAGATTTTTAATTAAAAACTTTAATTTTTTTTAAATTAGTAGAAGCACAATATAAAAATTAGAAAAAACAAACTTAAAAAAAAACAACTTAAAGTGTTGCTGATCCTTAGGTACGCACACGCGTTAAACAACACTATAACAACACTTTATTTAGATTTTCCGACATGAATTTTTCATGAAATTAAAAAATAGTAAATGACATGTAAGTCGTGTATGACATTTTAATATTATTAACTCGATTCACTTAGTTTAATCAATATATTTATATATCTTGTCATGAGGAAAAATAAAAAATTTATCTCATTTAATTCTTTAAGAAATAAAAGCATGAATTAAATAGAATTTTATAAAAAAAAATACGTGTAATCAAATGGTCGCTGAATTTTTTATCAAGTTTTAAGTATTTTTCAAATCAAATGTTTTTTTATTAACGCTTGATTAATATTATTATTATTATTACTGATATTTTTATTGTTATTATTTTTTATTTTTTTAAACTAAAGAAATGCTTGAAACAACATCAAGTTTTACTTATCATTGTCATAATTTACTTATTGTTTACTTATCAATATTATTAAGCACATATTTATTTTATTACATTTTTTTATTAATTGCATGATTTTTTTTTACTTATTAGTATACATAAGTTAACTGACATTTCAAAGCATTGCTGTCGAAGATAATCTTATGGCTGAAAGAATTAACTGTATTGCTGTTGATAGCAGTAAAGAGAGCGATAATGCCTTTTATTGGTATGTAGAAAATTACCATAGAGAAGACGATATTGCTCTTCTCGTTCATGTGCAAGATTCTCCAAATCGATATATAGAAACTTTGGTCGAAGGGAAAGGAAACCATTATGATTCTGAGTATAGAAGGTTTTCAAAGAGCGAAAAAGTGCTAGAAAGATTTAAGGCAAAGTGCGTAAGAAGAAATATAAAGTTCATTCCATGTTTAGCTCCTCTTCAAAATAATAAAGGTCACACAATTTGCAATGTCGCCGAAACTCACAACGCCACAATTATTGTGACTGGACAAAAGTGTGGTCATAAATTAACACGGACTTTACTCAGATCAACGAGTGAAAATATAATGCATCACTCTCACGTTCCGGTTTTGATAATACGTTTGAACGATAATGATAAGCAAAAAAAATAAAATCTAACCCCCTAACAGTAAATCTCATTGTTGAGTATGACCAGGTTAATGGGATTCATTAAACATTTTTATTAGATTGTACATATATATGATATTTAATGAAGAAAAGAGAAATTTGAAACTTTATAAATATAGCGCTTTTTTCGTATACCAAAAAGTAAAAGAATTTTTCTTTAGATTGTGAAAACATTAACTTTAAATACAAGTTCTTTCTCTAAAAACGTTTGAAAACGTGGTGCATTTTCAAAGTGCATCGCGAAATACCATATTTCGCGATGCACTGTGAAAAGAGATAAAAAAACATTTTACAATAAAATCATCATCGAAATTTCAAAATATATAAAGATTATAATCATCTATTTAAAAAAATTCTAAAAGTTTAAAAAAAATATTGCTACTCAAGTCTGCTTACTAAATCTTAAAATGACGCAAAACGGACTTGGCAAATAATGAAAAGAATTAATGGGGGTAACGCCACCATGGGTGGCGTTACAATTTCTCAGATTCAATTTCCCTAAAAGTTATATACGCGCTATAGCCCACCAATTTATTTCTTTAAAACTAAAAACTAAAATTATTTATTTAATGCTATTATATAATTGCATTATATATAACTGCACTATTATTATTGCAAAGACATTAAAATTATATTTTTTAATGTCTGAAATCTGGGGAAGGATGTATTTTTTTTATTTTGTACCACATTTGCGTCTCCTAAAAAAAAAAAAAGATCCTCAATTTCTAAGATATTTTAGGACTTACAGATTCTTGTAGGTGGGTAGAATGCATATCCCCTATATCCCCATGGATCCGTCATTGGGTATTTGGAAACGTTACCATTGAGGCTCGGTGATAAGGCTAATTTATGCCTTCTTCTTGCTCCAGCCAACTGTTATTTTTTTTACAATAAAAAAATAACAGTTGGCTGTTATTTTAAACTAGTAAAATAATAATATAAATAAGGTGGCCAACCACTCTAAGCAACTCAAAATTTTAGAAAAACTATACTTTGCATTGCTTTTACAGTAAGACTTTGTTAACTTTTGGCTATGACCACAAAAATTGTAATATTTCAATTAAGTTTAAGATATTGACTTGTTTATCCAACTATTCTTTTCAATATCTTTCTTTATTTTTATACTGAAAAATTCGATCTTTTTGTAAACGACTCTTTTCTGTTTAATTCTTTATACGTAATCTTTTTCATATAATATATTCTTCAAAGTTGATACTAATTTTGTTGCTCTTTTTTGCACTTTTTCTACCTTTATGATATTTTGTTTTAAATAAGGAAACCATGTTTAGATCGCAAAGAAATGATCTTTTAAAAGTTGTACCTAGTTTTCTTAGTATATTTAAATCAAAATATTTAAATGTCCATTTAATAAGAGCGAGCGTTAGATTTGATTTACTTGCAAATTTCTTCATTTGAGATTAGACCATTTTAAATTAGATTGAGTCATTACTTTAAAATTACGTTCTAGTTTTGATGTTGCTAAGATATTATTTTGTTTGGTTTCTGCATCAAACATTGAATAAGTTGTACTTAAATTTTTTAAGCTAATTTCAACAATTACAACAATTTCAAAATATTATCAGTATCTAATTGTAATTTAATTATACTTATATGTCCGTCTGACTTAATAATGTTTTTAAATTTGGCATAGCCTGCATATAGTTTATTACAAAATCTACTGTATAAGCTAGTAAGCAATATACAATATCTATTGTATCTGGTAAATCTAGATATAGTAAAAACCACTGTCAACTGTTAATCATTTTGATGTACTTTTTACCCAAAATTACTTGTTGTTTTCTGTTATATAAGTAGACACTATGGAAAAAAAGTATTACTCCAAAAATATCAATGATTTTATTATTAATTGCATTTAAGGTACTTTATCAAATGCTTTTGAGAAATCTGTACACATAGTATTGACACATCAGCCATTCTCAATAGCATTTTATAAAGTATCTTGTGTTTCTGGCAGATTTGTGGTACAACTTTTGTTCTTTCATTAATTTGTGTTGGTTAATCAGGGCCGTGCATAGGGTGAGTCACCAAAGCAAATTGCTCATAGCCACTGCTCTTAGGGACCCCCACTAATGGCTGACCAAAGAAAATTTACCCGCAGAAATTTGATAAATTTTCGGTGGAGGGGGGTTCTATCATTAATTTCTTACATCCCTTTGTTAAACGCCTCAAAAATATACATTTTTCTGAGATTTCTGCAAAGTGTACTCTTCAAAGCCTGTTTGGGCATACTGTTAGTAGAATTTCTAAAATAACTTATATGCCGAAGTTTGGTTATGCTGACAAAATAAATGGAACTTTATTTTTAAAGATTGGTTTTTGATGGAGTATCGAGCTAAAGAATTTATAAGCAGGAGTATGACACAGGCTTCACAGTAACTATGAAGAAAGCTTTTTTAGTAAAACTTTTGTAGCTTATCTACTTAAGGTAGGAAATGTTAAAATTTGGAAAATTATAAAATTTTTAATTTGAAAAAGATAGAATAAAACCTTTCAAATTGTTAATTTTGTTGACCTTTCTATCTAAAATATAAAAAAAATCCATTGTATAATGCAGAGAAGAAAGAAAAAAAAAATCTAAATAATCAAATCACTATGTTAGAGACATTTTAAAAAGTGGTAAATATTTCAGGAAAATTTGTGACCATTTGATCATAAACGGTCATCAATTTTGTGTCTTTAAGTAACCAACTTACAGACACAAAACCCACTCATACCTGCAATGTGTCTAATGTTAAACTTAACGAAATGAACAAAATCGATTTACCAAAACCAAAACCGGAAAATGAGTCAGCTTTGGCGCTTGGAATTTCAGGTTTTCACTGCTTGTTAAAGATATTGTTCATTTGAGTCATAAATTCAAAACTAAAAAGTATAAGGCAAAAAATACTGTACAGTTATCTGTAAACATTTTTTTTTCCTTTTATTTGTTAAGGTTTCCTTTATTACCAATGCTTGTTAGGCTAGAGCCATCATTGAAACTCTTGGTTCTGATCAAAAGCTCTAACCACTGCGCCATGGCTGCTTTATTTGAAATTTTAAACTTGAATTTTTTTTACCCCGAAGTTGTTTTCTACTTTTTTAAAAGTAGCAAAGAATTTCGAGGTTACTATAGTTATAAATAAAGCTGCATAGTGACTTAGAAATAACCAAAAAATGGCAAAAACTTGACAAAACTCAGCAAAAATTGTAACTAAAAAAAAGTTAAAATAATATCGTTTTATATTTTATAATTAATAATAAAAGTTATAAATAAAACTTTTATAATTATTAATAAAAATTATAAATAAAAAAAGTTAAAATGATATTTTTTTAACTTTTTTTGTTATATTTATAGTTTTTGCTGAATTTTGTCAAGTTTTTTCCATTTTTTGGTTATTTTAAGTCACTATGCAACTTTATTTAAACCCTGAAGTTCTTTGGTACTTTTAAAAAAATAGAAAACAACTTCGGGGTTAAAAGAATCGTGCTTTTAAGCATGTCGTTTAGCCTAGTATTGAAATCAAATGATTTAGTATTTTTTACGTCAAAGTGCGTGAAATACGTTGAAAATACGTCTTAAATACGCCATTATGTGCTTGGTAGTTTCCAGTTGACATCTGTTTAAAGTAGATTAAAGATTAAAGGTCTTTCCTTATAATCAAAATTTCATTTTCAAAACTTTCCGATGAGCTGTCTTTATAAACATTGAAAGTGATACTAAGAAAATTATAACGACATGGCTACAGAAAATTCTAGGACGGTATTGGTACCTAGTTTAGATGATCTTCAAAAAATTAATCAGTGTTACAATTTAAAATGCACTTTAGACGATCTTTCAATTTACCAAGAAATTATGAAAGGACCTGTTGAAGATTACAACTTTGTAGAAAACTTTTTACTTCCCCCAGTAGAAATTTTAGGCGATCGCACATATCTATACCCTTTAACTGAAGATAATGAATATCTTGCTTGGTATGTAAAATGCAATATTAATGCAAAAAAAGATGGAAAGTTGGCTGGTAAAAAAATTGCAATTAAAGATAATACTGCTGTTGCGAATATACCTATGATGAATGGTTCAAAAGTTTTAGAAGGGTACATTCCAGAGTATGATGCAGTTATTGTTCAAAGAATACTTAATGAAGGAGGTATAATTATTGGAAAGACAACATGTGAAGATTTATGTTTTAGTGGAGCAAGTTATATGACAACATATGGTCCAGTTCGTAATCCAAATAACACAGAATACTCTGCAGGGGGATCGAGTTCTGGAAGTGGCGTTGTTGTTGCAACTGGTGAAGCTGATATGGCTACAGGTAAAAAATGTCACAATATATATATTTTTTTAATTTGATTTAAAGCAACATTAGTACATTTACCAAAAATATAAAATAAAAATAAAAACATATTTAAGTTTAATTTAAATCTTGCCTATAACAACAAAAAGATTGATTTTTATTTAAACAAGATTTTTTCGTTCAATTGCACAATATTCATCTATTCACATGTTCCATTATTTCAATGAGTTTGTCATTTTTTAGATATCTTCAGTGAGTTTTCCAACATTTTCTTTTGATTCCATAAACTCCTATTTACTTGAAAAAATACCATTACTTCAATAATTTCATTTTATGTCTTTGTTAATTGATTACTCATTTCGCATAACTTGTTTTTACACATGGTTTCATCATCTCTGAGAAGCTGAATAATTTGATGTTTATTTCCCATAAATGTCTTAAAAATAATTTTCCTCCTGTTTAATGTTGATTTGATTTTTAATTTCTTCTTTTTACCCTTTTTCCATGGCAAAGAAACTACCATCTGCTACCAAATTTTGATACAATGGAAATCAAAAAATAATACTGGTTTATACTTAATTAAAAGACCTTTTTTTTAACAGTTTTAACTATTTTAAAAATTTTCATAAAATTTTGCTTCTTTTGAGTACCATTTTGCGATACTTTTGAAAAAAGTTTTTTTCTGGATAATATTAGGGACTCATTAAATATTCAAGGGTCACTTAGGATCACTAAAATTATTTTTTACTCAAAAATTTTATAAATCTAGTGTTGTTTTATTTTATAAATCAAACCTAGGGATGTAACAGTCAGAATTTTTTTAAAGAAAGCAATTTTTACCCCACCCTAATGTGACATTCCCAAACTATGGGTATATACTTTATTTTTTTATTTTTTTTTTGTTATAGGCGGAGATCAAGGTGGATCAATAAGAATACCAGCCAGTTGCTGTGGTATTGTTGGCTTAAAGCCAACTCATGGTTTAATTCCATACACAGGAGCGATTCCGATTGTTCCTGTTATTGACCATGTTGGTCCTATGACAAAAAATGTAGCTGACTGTGCAATTTTTTTAGAAGTTCTAGCAGGTATGTAATAGTATTAATTCAATTTAATTTTATTTGCTAAAAAGTTAGACATAAACATAAATATACTGAAAAATTATACAATGCATAAATAGACTAAACATAAATTAATATAAAAAAATGTTCATGTGATACTGGTGTAATAGTAGAGTACTTATTTTATAAAAAAGTGGTACAAAGTTCAACAGTTTTGTTTGTCAAGGTTTGTGTGACTGAGAGAGGAATATAATAATAACAAATAGAGTAGCCTCCTAGACTATAGTGCTTCTCTTGGCTTTGGCAAGCTAAAGAATACTGAGCTATGGAAGCTAGGTGTTTGAAGTCATTAGAATAAAGATCCATCTGGTTACATGACTAAATTTGACTCAGTATCGCAAAAAAATGGGATCAGTGTACATTTATATAATACATTTATAATACATATTGTGCTGAAACAGAGATAACATATCCCTGCAACTATGCATTGCTATAAATATAACCATACAACTGAAGCCGCGCTTGAGAAGGATAACTATAAAACACCAAACAAGCATTTAGTTGTCAACCTTTGGAGTTAGTGTTGGCATTCGGCAATGCTGACCTAACTGCCGACCTAAAAGTGTTTGAGATTAATAATCGGTAAATAATTGCTGACCTCGTTTCTATCCTTTATGGTAAGACCTTTGTATTAAATTTATATATATATATATATATATATATATATATATATATATATATATATATATATACAGGGCCTATACTAGGAAAAACATTTGGGCGGTGGTACCCCCTTGTTCTGGCAAACTTTATCGAAAAATCAGCGTTTTTTTTGCAAAAATAATATTTGCTGTTAAAAAATGTAAAAAAAAAGTTCTCAAATTTTAAATTGGCTGATGCCCAAATACGGTCAACGCTGTCAAAAATGGTCTAGAATAGCCCCTGATATATATATATATATATATATATATATATATATATATATATATATATATATATATATATATATATATATATATATATATAACCTTTGGAATTAGGATCAATGCTGACCAAACTGCAAACGTAAAAGTGTTTGAGGTTGGCAAATTATTGCGGACCTTATTTTTCCTAAATCCAAGGGTTGAGTTGTGAATGCTGCTGGTAACAGCACCACTGTGAACGTGACATTTCTGCTTTCACAAAAATGAATGTGACACTTCTGTTAAAGGTTTTTTAAAGCATAAAGAAACTGACTATTCCATTATGTTCTTATATCTTGCTTGAATCTTTTTTTTTTTTACTGAGTTTGATATTTTTGATAAGGTTCAAAAAATGACATAATGGTTAAATTGGATTAATATGTAGTTACAAGTTATTGGGCAAATACAGTATCATTTCAACGCGAATTGCAAAGTGTGTAAAACACATGACAAACTTTTGTAACCTGCCTCTCTTATTCCAGCTATTTTGTTTTTGTTGTTGTTTGCCTCTCTTATTCCAACTACCATATAAGATGCGTTATCTCTATCACATGTATCTTAGAAGCTGAAAAAGTCATTAATAGAGTTTTGAATCACTTCATATACATTTTTAGCAGTATATAATGCTAAATTCACTAAGAAAATTGTGATTTTATGGTTTTAAATTGTTAATTAACCAGTGAGCTGTTTTTTTCCATCAATTTCTATCCCTGATTTTGAATGAAATTTTTTTCATTTTAGACTTTTTGTCAGACTTGTTTTTATGTATTTTAAAATACAGAGTTTTTTTTAATGTATTTTCTACATATATGATGAAGCTATTTTTGAAATCTTAGATTTTCTACTAGTGAAATAGGGTAAATATCAACTGCAAACATTTCTGCAACGCTGAATTAATTTAAATCTGTGATCATTATTGTGTTAAGGCTTTTTTTCTCTTGAGTGTTTTTAACAAAGTTTATGAAATTGAATTTATTGAAAATGAAATGAGAAACTTGCTTCATTTAATTTTTTTTTAACATATATTATATATGTGTTTGTGTCAGGCTTTTGTGGTATTTAGATAAAAAAGCTTATGAATAAAATAAAATTGATTACGTTTAGTAATAGTTTTTTAAGTTTTATGCTATAATGTTCAGTTGTAATACTTCAGAAAAACAATCATCAGCAACGGTTGTTTTTCTTTTCTTTTTTTTCAAGCATGTTAGAAAAATTGATCAAATAAATGTTGCATTTGACCAAGTTTTTAAACTCTATTTTAATATATATTTAGATTGCTTTTTTATTGAAATGATTTATTTTATTTATAAATATTATTTTGTATATTCTTGTTTTCATATTTTAAAAATTCCTTTGTTAGTCTTCTTCTTTGAAATATTTCGTGCTAATTTGAAAAGTTTCAAAATCGCACTGATATAGCACCAAGTGAGAAAGAAAGTAATTATAAAAAGACTTTTGTAATTAAAACTTGAATAAATGAGTTTTTAAATTTTTTAACTTGAATAAATGAGTTCAATACTTTTTAAATTGTTTTTGTGTCATGTTCACTTTGATTTCATGTTCATGTCATTTTCACTTTGATTAATTGTATTAGATAGTAAATTAAATATACAACTATAAAAATATTGTCTATTAAAAATTATATTTTAATTTTAAAACGTTTTTATTCAAAAATATAAAATTTTAATGGTTTTTTAAAAACTACTAAAGCTCTCTAGTTCTTTATTGTTTTTATTTTTTTACGTTTTTTTTTTAAATGTTTGTAAATGAAATTCTTACACTGGTCATTTGAACTTATCAAGTTTATTTAAAAATAGTTATTTACATTTTTATAAAATCTTTAATTGCGAACTTTTTAATTTAAAGACGCTCACAAAAACAATCAATGAACATTTTTTTGCTTTTATTGTTATTTTAATTTTTATTATTATTTTACTATTGTATTATTACTTATCAAAGTAATATTTTATTTTATATGCGCTATATGTTTTTTACTATTTTTGTTTATGTGAGCAAAATATGACTCAACCTAAAATCCTGTTTGAAACTAATTTTGGTGTTTTTCAAAAAAAAAGTATGTATATATATATATATATATATATATATATATATATATATATATATATATATATATATATATATATATATATATATATATATATATATTAAAGTGCCTCTAAAAGCTACTTTTTTTGAAATTTTCTGCTGCCAACCCCTAAATGTGTTCTATGTAATAAATTAACACTAAATTAAAAAAAATTTTGTATAAAAAAAATTTTTAGGGGTTGCTTAAGATCCTTAAACATCAAACGGCTCCCTAATATTTTTAAAAAAAGTTCTTCAAAAGTATATCATGTTGGGTCTCAAAAGAAGTGAATTTTATAATTTTGAAAATAATTATTGTTTTATATAAAGATTACTATATATATATATATATATATATATATATATATATATATATATATATATATATATATATATATATATATATATATATATATATATATATATATATATATATATATATATAGTAATCTGTATATAAATATAGTAATATATTACTAGTTTAAATTTTATGGCTTTAAAACTCATTTTTTAACAAAAAATAAAAAGTACATATTTTTAAAGTTTTTTTTAAATCAACTTATTTAATTTGTGTTTCCATAAATCGTTTTTACTATTTTTGAAATTTTTATAAAATTTTCTTTTTTTTTAAGACCCAACATGATATACTTTTAAAGAACTTTTTTTTCAAAATATTAGGGACCTGTTTGATGTTTTAGGGTCTTGAGCATCCCTAAAAATTTTTTTTTATTTAAAATTTTTTAAATTTAGTATTAATTTATTACATAAAACATATTTAGGCAGCAAACAATTTCAAAAAAAGTTGTTTTTAGAGGCACTCTAATATATATAATATATTTTAGAGGCACTCTAATATATATATATATATATATATATATATGTATATATATATATATATATATATATATATATATATATATATATATATATATATATATATTTATATATATATATATATATATATATTTATATATATATTTATATATATATACATATACATATGCATGTATATATATACATATACATATGCATGTATATATATATATACATATACATATGCATGTATATATATATATATATATATATATATATATATATATATATATATATATATATATATATATATATTATCCTATAGTTTGATATCTAAACTTACCTATCATGGTAAAAACAGCTCTTGACTACTCTTTGACATATAAAAAGACAAAATTAGTACAGTTTAAATCAAAACCATTAAATTTAATTGAGATAACTAATTAAATTTAATCGTTTTTTAAAAAACTGTAAAAGGTGACTGGATTAAATTTTGATCATTATAACTGAATAATGTGACTATTCTGTCAGTAATTATTTGTTATTGATATTTTCAAAGTTGTTTAAAATCTATCAAAAAAATATAACAACAACTGGGGTTCCACTAACAAAATTGGCTTTGTTAAGTTTTTTTATAAAAAATGTGATGTTAAAAATCATTTACAAATTTGTTAATGTGACATTATTTGTGTAAGACTTGTTTAATGACATATTGCAAAAGGTTTTTTATCGACTTTGAAAATAAACTATATTTTTTATGTTTAAAATTGATAAAAAAGCAACTTTTTCTAATTCTGAAGACAAAGTTGAAATAAACAATATTTATCGCTTGTTAGTTGTATTTATTACAAAATGTATTATTGTGAGTTCTTGTAATGAAACCAAGCTGTCTATCAATACAAAATATTACAACAATAGCATGTTGCATAAAAAATTTTTAATGACACATTTCATTATGCTAAATATTATCAGACATAATTTTCCAGAAAAATTAAAAAATACTGGACAACACAACCTAGCTCTACATTAGTAACACCGCTTGATACTAACTGCTGCCAAGTAACACCCCAATTCAGTAACACTTTATTTATAAAAATATTTGATCTCCAGAAACAATTTAAATATTTAAATCATAAATTAGTAAGCGACTCATAAAATATTTCTTACACTTAGTCATTACCATTTGTAGTATCAGGAAGCACTAAGAGCTTAGTAATAAACAGAGGGTCTCGTCAATGCTCCTCTTTGTTAGTAAATCTTCATTAAAGAGAAGGAAACTTTGTTTCCAAAGGATTGATATATAACTAACTATTATGTGCATAATAAAAGCATTATTGTTAATGACTATAACAAAAACAACATATAAAATAGCTATCGTTTAATTTAATATAAAAACTGGTTTTGTATCAGTAAATAAATTTATTTTTACCTCAAAAATGTAGAATTCCAGTTTCTCCCAAACTGCTGACTATTGGTTAACACAGTAAATTCCCCATCATACAAATCTACTAAATTAAAACCATCTTTCAACATTAGGCAAACTAATAAAGCAATGAAAAAGGTAACTAAAAAAATGAATATAATTATGTATGAATTTATAAAAATATATAAATCATTTTAGCTTATTATTATAAGCTATATTATTATTATTATTATTATTATTATTATTATTATTATTATTAATATTATTATTATTATTATTAATATTATTATTATTATTAATATTATTATTATTATTATTAATATTATTATTATTATTAATATTATTATTATTAATATTATAAACAATTATAAAAATTTAATAAAACTATAATAATTCTTTAACAAAAATGTTCTGATAATAATCATAAACTAATTTCTCATGATATCGTTGAATATCTGAAAGTAACTTAAAAAACAAAAAGAAGAGTTTAATAAAAACTTGATTTATGTAAAGTTTTGTTTTTAATTTAAATTTAAAAACATTTATTTTCTTTGATTTGTGATGCTGATGGACTCACTTCTGAAACTAAAATATGCAACTTAAAAAACAAACAAAAAAGAATATTTATCATAGCAAAAAAAAAAAAGAGGAAAGATATCATGTAGCTTATGAATTCTAATATTATTATTTAGATGTGATAATGAGAACCATATATCATTTTGTTCATAGTTAGTTTCAAAACTTGGAAGGTTGTATGAACTTTAAGAAACTCATATAGAAAAGCCTAGAATCTACTTTAAAATGATGTAATGAAACAGTAAACCTTAAATTGGAGTATTTGTATTTAGATTCTAATGCAAATGCGCACATATAAGTGTATATGTAGTTAGTTGATCCTTGAATTAAGTAATATAAATATAGTATATTGGAGCTCTTAAAATCATTAAGAAAATTAAATCTTTCTCTTGGTAGGATATGACACTGGAATTGATTATCGTCAAAGCCCATTTGCACCTGTTTATGAATATTCTAAGCTTATTTATCCATTGGTAGTTCCTAAAAAGAAAATTAATGTTGCCATTCTAGAAGAAGGACTAGATCTTTGTGATAAAGATGTTAAAGAGACATTTAATCAATCAATCAGTTGGTTAAAGCAAAGTGAGTTTTTGAACATAAAAACAGTTAGTTTGCCTCTTCACAAGGAAGCATATCGTTTAATGGTACCTTTATTTTTTGATGGTGTATTTGGTTCAATGATTGATGGTTGTGGTTATGGAACTGGATTTGCAGGTTTGATATTAAATTTCATTTTCAATTTATATTTATGTATTGTGTATGTATTTCTATATTAGGAGTATTTGGGCTAAACCAATGATTTTTTCATTCTAAAAGGATCCTATTTTACAGAGGGGATATAAATGAATAACAATAGTTAACTTACTTTTTTTCAATTTTTGTCTAAAACTATATTGTTTGATTAAAATTTAATAATTTATGATCTCAAAGTTATACTTTGAGATCTCAAAGTTATACTTTGAGGTCTTGAGAATTTGAGAAAATATAAGTTATACTTTGGGATCAGTGTTTTCAACTTTATTTACATGAAAATTTATGATCATGTAATCAAAATACTTATTAATAATCTTCAATAATAAGCTTAATAATAATAGGATTAATTTGAGAAAATTCTGTTTTCTATTAATTGAGATCAACAGTTACTTATAACAAATCCATTTGGTTAAAAATTAAACACAAACAACAACACAACAAACAGTTTAAACTTTTAATTAATCTGTAGTGAATTTAATGACAAGGTGTTTTACAATGACATTTTTTATGCAAAAGGTCATTGTTAGATACCATGTCATTTTTCGTTGGTATTGAATCAAGTCTTATATATAGTTTGTCTATTTAAACAAAAATAAACCTGTCACTAATATTGTATAATTTTAAAATATAATGTTTAATAGGTATGATTACTATTGTTTTTTTGTTTTTTTTAATTATTATGCTATTGTATTATTTTCTGAGTTTTTTTTCTTTTTTCTTTTTAATGCTTCTTCTTCAAATTTCTTTATTTTTTTATGTTTTAATATTTTGAATCTAGCAAGTTTAAGGGTCATGCATGATAACATACTAAGCACATACTAAGCAATAAAGTTTTCTAAGTAATTTGCATCTTAGTTTAGCTTTATTAACATCTAGGCTCTTGATGCTAGACTAGATCTACCATCTAGATCTACTCTGATCTACCAATGAGATCTACTGTTACTATTCTGCATCTATTTAAAGCAATATTACAATTTAGTGAAAAACATAACGAGAAGACATTCTTTTTTAACTTCTTATTAAATAGTTTTATTTATTAATTACTTTTTGATTTATAACATACAAGTATGATAAAAATTTATAACACACAAATATGATAAATATTTTATCAGATATGTATCTAAATTTTTTTTAGTGAAAAATATTTTTTATGCTTTTAATTGTTTAGGATTTAATTTGATCTCAAGAACTGTAGATTTTTTTCATATAAATAACACTAATGGGTGATTCCATGTCAAATGACCCAGAAATTTTTTTAAATGTCACATATCTCAGATTTTGCTGATTTTGACAATTGAGAGTAGTTAGTAAAAAAAGAATTCCTTGAAAAATTTAGCCTCTGGCTCCAAGAAGATCCTGAAATATGACCGTTTTACTTTTAACAAATGTTAGCTAGACCTCTCTTGTCCCTTCAGAGTTGCAAGGTTTATTTAGAGGTTTCATGTTACATAAATTTAAAAAAATATGATCTTTTTACTTAATAATTTGTACCTGGCTATTTTCAGGGGTGACAAATCCAATGAAATGATCAGAAATGTAAAAAATTATTTTTAATTACCTGTATTTATCAGTTTGAATAAATTTAGGCTGTTTTTTATATTCCTGATTATAATGCTCAAGAAACCCATGTGATCTTGCTGATATCAAAACATTTTTAAAAATCTTTCTTTATTTTTATTGATCTTTCAAAAAGCATAAGGACTTTCATCTGCAAGTATATGAGTTTCTATATATGGACAACAGGGCACGGTCCCCACTTTTTTGTAGCTGAGTATTGCAATTTTTTTTTCACTATCTTTCAGACTAGCTGGAGCTCTGAAAATTTTTGCGATTCTGTAGTGTGTTAAATGTGCATAGTAAAGTTGTTTCCAGAGCTTAAGACAGCAGGGGGGGGCTAGGCTATAGGCTCCACTTTTTTAAGCAGAATCTTCTAATAGATTTTTCACTGCTTTTCAAACAAATTGGAGCTTTGAAACTTTCAGCATTTGTGTAGTCCTGATGCACATGTAATAAAATTGTTTCTAAGGCAGATGATCAATAAGATTCGGTCATCAGGGGCCATGCCTCACTTTTCTCAAAAAAACTTTTTTTTGCATTTTTAAAGGTAAATTAAACTTTAAAAATATTGTCATCAGAAATTTTTTTGGTTTATACATGCTCCATTTAAAATATGTACTTTCAAAAAATATTTTAAGAAAGTACATATGTTTATAAGATTTTTGATTTGCAAGTATATAGATGGAAAACAGTCATTCATCTAGAATAATAATTTTAACAGAATTTTACATTAAATAATTTAAAACTTTTTGAGTTTTAAATTATTAATGTAATTTAAAAAAATTGATATTTTTTAATGCTAAAATAACAGGTTTTCTTATTCTGATATTCAAAGCATTCAAATTAATCAGCAAATTAACACCAATGCATTGAAATTTGGTGAATTTATTCTATGTAAATATGACACGTTTCATTGCATTGGTATGATAAATGAAATAGACAGTATTGAGCAAGATGTTATGGTAACATTTATGCACTTGCACGGTTCTTTTAAAAAACCTTTCTCGTCATCTAAAGCAGATAAGTGCTGGGTTCCAATTACCAAAATAATTTGTATTATTGATGCACCTGTAATAACAACTGGGTGTATGTATACTTTAACCGTTGACTCATCTAAGCAAATCTTAACACAATCTTGACACTTTATACTTTTGTATTTTATTTTTTAAATTATTAAATAAAACGTAACAAGTACAAACCAAAAAAACTTTTGAAAACAATATTTGCAAAGTTATCTTTACTTTATTGAAAATGCCAGGGAAAAAAAATGTGTTGAGAAAAATAATAAGGCATAACTCCAATGCCCCAGGCCATGGATCCCTGGTTGTCTGCTTTGGAAACAGTTTTAATACATGTTCATTATGATTACACAAATGCTAAAAGTTTCAGAACTCCAATTTGTCTGGAAAGCAGCAAAAAATCACAAGATTTCACTACAATAAAGTGAGGCACTTGCCCCACTAATGTCTTGGGGCCCTAAAAGCAATTAAAATGCAGATTCATTGAAACTAAAAAAATGATAAAATTTTGAGAACTCCAGCTAGTCTGGGAGGTAAAAAAAAAATCAATTGCAGTATTCCTCTATAAAAAAGTGGGGACCGTGTTTAGTTATCCATATATGGAAATTCATATACTTGCAGATCAAAATCTTTTTTTTTTTTTTGAAAGATTGATGAATAAAGAGTGATGTGTAATACATATTTTTTTGGTATCATCAAGGCCACATGGGTGTCTTAAGCATTAAAAATGGTTATATTAAAAATTTCCTAAATTTATTTAAATTGATAAATACAGGTACTTAATAAAAATTTACACGTTCGTAATTCTTGCATAACTTGCGCAAACTGTACACAAATTTATTTTTTCATAGTTATTTGGTATTTATTATTATTTCGCAGCTTTTGCGTCAAGTTAAGTTGCGCCAAACCATACGGTTTACTTATTTAACAAAAATTATAGATTTTTTGTGTAAGTTAGAGTTAAACTATAAACAAATGAGAAACCTTTCATTTACATTTTTAACTAAAATAAACAAAGCTGTTTGAATAGTTTAATAGAGCAACTATTATGTATCATTATATAACAACTAATTTTTCAATTACTATACAGGCTTGGTCGGGAAGCGAGTGCGATCGCACTCAACAACTGACCACGAAAATAATATTTAGTTGCCAAAAACCGGCCAGATATTTTAGTTGTTTTGAGAACATTTAAATTTATGTATGTTTCCTTAATTAAGTTCATTATTTTATCGTAAATTTTAAAATATTTTGTTTACGGACATACATGGAAACATACATAAACTCGAATGTTCTCAAACATCTTTGTGCTGAAAAATAAAAAAACACAAAAAACCTGTCAAATCTACGAACAACTAATTCTATTGGTTCAAAAAATGCTAACCGAAATTTCTAGAGTATTTTGTTGAAATATTTTTTAAAAGATTGAGATTTCTAGCATAAATTGTTTTAAGAGTATACTATCAAACGAACTATTATTTTAATTCTCGGAGCCATATCTACAAAGCTATAAATGAAAAAATAAATGTTTTAAATTTATCTTTTTTAACTTGTCAACATTTTGTAAATATATTGTAGATTTTATTAGTATATTCTTATTTTTTATATAAGGGATGTATTTTTTATGTATGTAATGTATTTTTTATGTAAACATTATACATGTAATTTTAAGTATGTGTATTTTATTCAAATGTAATCTTTTAAAGCAATTTGTGCGATTGATTTTGTAAACAAAAATTTACAAATATACTTTCAATAATACAAATATACTTCAATAATACTTTCAATAAACAAATATACTTTCAATAATAACTGCGTTTTCGATGAAATTATTAACATTCATTAAAGTTAATACAAATAATTTTAACCACTAATCCATTTTCCTCAGTGTACCCGATAACTGATTCTTTCCTCCAAGAAAGAAAAGTTTTTAAGTTCTTAGAAATTGGTTTACTAACTTCAATTATTTTTGCTTCAGCTATTTTTACAAACTCGTTATACTTAAACTTTAAGTTACTTTTTTCTGTTTTAAATACTAATTAAAATTATAAAGCCCACTCACTAAACATCATCAGCGTTATTGTGAAGCAGTTCCGCTTCACAATAACGCTGATGATGTGAAGTCACATAGTAATTTAACGTTTTTAGTTAATTTCTATTTAGCTAATTTTAATTTCTACAGTAACTCAATTATTTAATTATTTCATTTGTTCATCTTACTAAGAAAAATTGTTTTAAATGTGTTAAACTTCGCGAAGCATAAAACAGTTATTGAAAAACCTTTTTATTTACAAATAAATCATCTAGCGTTAGTTTTATTGGTGAATCTTGTTTGACTTTTCAGGGCTGGGGACTGCATTGTTTTGGCAGCCTTTTTTATGTGCC